ATCTTGAAAGCCAAGAATTCCAATTTGCAGAAGTGCTAGGCATTAAAAATTAAGACAATTCCAGAAAAATTTCACTCTGAACACATCAACTGTTCTTATATTAAGTATGATAGCTTCATCTCAGCCCACGGGGTACTTGTCAAAAAGAAGTCTGTAAAACATTAGAAATTAGGTGGGTTTTTTTTAAAAACGGTTGCCCCCTTTGTTATCTAAAAGATAAGAGACCTGTCAGCTTTCTTTATTCCAATAGATTCAATACTACAGAGAGTATGGTGTAAGACAATCCAACCAGGAAACTGGTGATTTTGCCTATGTCAAAGGTTTCACTGTCATCAGCAAATAATGCAAGCAATCATCCTTACAATGACAATACCAGGGAACACTCACTGAATAGCTTCCACCACAGTCACTGGATAAGCATAAGGCAGCATTAAACCAATTCTGTGTGGCTGATCCAATATGATACCTTGACATGTGATCCACCACACAGCTGACAAATGTGTTTAAAAGTGGGCCTAAGTATAAAATATGTCTTCTCATATTTAGACTTCATTAAATACTGATGATGCTGCCCAACCTCTGCCCTGGCCACATCAACTTGGATTCAGAAGCACTACTGTCATTTCAGGACAGCACTAACTTGAGGATCTCCATGTCACCTTACACCCTTCTAGTGCACCTGCAGTGACACCTGCACAACCCAGGTAATCGGGAAGTCAAGATAAAACTGTTCCCCAGGCTGGATTCAACCTACAAGCTACACATGATACTCCTACTTAAGCTCTGTAAGCAGCTCATTGCTCTGTTGTTTCCTTTTCTAGATTCTGGAAGTTTGCAACTAGGCATAGTTTTCATGTGACCTATATGAAGCAGTGTTCTAAATACTCTCTTTTTTTGTATCCATAAACAAAAAGTAGGTTCATTCCACAATTTCTTTGTTTCCCAAGGAAATGAGGGTTATATAATTAAACAGTTCACTTCCTGCCTCATCCTTATATTGTTTACAAATTCTCTGGCTAATTTAAGACAAAATAGTCAGAGAGTTTTAAGAACCTAATGTAATCTTTCATAAAAATCAGCAAATACAACAGAAACACAAGCCCCACCGCACCCAAGGACAGCCCACCAGCTAATAAACCCCTGCACAGCACAAACAGGTGCAGCTGCCTGCTCCAAACCAAGCAGCTGCAAGGTGCGGGGAAAAGAAGGAGACAATCTTCTCAGAAACCTCAGAGAGATCAGGACACTTCACAGACATTCAGGATCAAAACTATCAAAAAGGTACATACTTGGTAAAGACCTTGAGCTCTACATCAGGAAAGAGAAGTGCTAAACTGATAGGAGCACAGGGGGAAAATAGGGGAAGCCATGTTCATTAGTCTCATTGCTCTATCAGTAACTTACTAGACGACAACACCCACACCACATTGCAATTCTTTCTCCTCTCCTAGATTCCTTTTATCTGTACAGCTCATTATTGTCTTTAATCCTACTTCTCATTTGTTAGCACTAAACTCCTCACAATGGAAACCATATGAAAAGAGTTTAAATCAAAAAGATTTAGCTCAGTCTGAGAAAGTTCACCTACAGATATTTTCCCCTCCTTGAAAATGTAAACTTGTATAGCCAGAGCCAGATTACAGCATGTTCAAGTGTGGCCCAAAAATCTGGTAAAAGTAGATTCATGAGGATATACAAGATGTACAATTCTGCCTTGGGTTAGAAAACATTCCACCTGTGACCTCTAACATTTCTTTGCCCCACGCCACTCCATGCAATGCAGTGTGGTTTCCATTGCTGGTTCCTCACACAGACCTCAATTCAACAGATTTCTCTTAAGGCAGGCACCAAAGCTTTGCTATTTCTCAAAAGAGGAGAAGCAGCATAGAGCAATCAAACTAATGCTGCCAGGAGGAACATTACCACAGTGGTGCTGAAGGATTCTCAGAAGTCACTGCTCAACTTTCTTCCCCACTCCAAGCAAACTGCCACAAGACCCCAGGCTTGGGCAGCAGTAGATGGGAGGATTTTAATCTCCGACTGACCACCAGTCTGGTTTTACTACTCCGTCCCATTTGGCCTCACTCTCTTCCATACTTAACAGCTCCCCATTCTGATCTTTATCTTAATCCTATGCCCTTTATCTTAATCTCCCCTATGAAGAAGTGGAAATATTAAACAATAAATAACCCTGCATCATAAAACAGAGCTCCTAGTAAATACTAAATGTGTTTTGGAGGACAACTATACAGAAACTAAGAACTGCAAATACAACTCTTTAAACTTATTTGAGCCAGAATTTTTCCAATAGAATTGCTGTCTGTTGTTTCCTCACAAATCTGAGATTACCTGACCTATGCAAACTCTAACTGGATGTAATTATAAAGACATACAAATGGAACATGTTTTAACATTACATGAACTTTCCAAAGAAAAAGATGTAACAGTTCCTGCAATCACTAGACTGGGGCTGTGAACTTGATCACATGAAGAATACTCAAATTTTAAATGTCTTTCAGTGACCATAACAAACCACTGGCATTGACCAAACGGGTCCCTGGCCATGGCACTCCGGTTCTCTGTAACACTTCATACAAAATGCCTCACTTTTACAAAAACTTTGGGGTTTCGTGTTAGAACCACTGGAAGCTGGTATGCTGAAAAAGTGACACTGGAAATGGTACTTTAAAAGATTTTTAATAACAGACAAAAGCAGCTAACAAATTCTATACTAATTTGAGCTCTTTTAATTTTGTGCACTCTTCACATCTATGTCCTGCTTTGAAGGAGTTTTGAACTATTTTATATTTATTCTTCAAAGAGAAGTTTTCAATCTTGCTTATTTTCTTTGCCTCTACCAAAAACAAACAAAAAAATTTAAAAATCTGGCCAAATGCAGTGTCCTTAAAACTGAGCAAAGTATTTTCTCTGTTTACTTAAATTCATTTACAAATTTATTTTGACACAAGGTAAATTCTGTATTTTGACAGTTTAGACTAGAAATCCCATGGTTTGATTCCGCCTTCAAGAGCTAATATTCAACCCAAACTCATCTTTTTGAACTGCTGGCCAGAACACAGTACTGCTAAAAATTACAGTCAAGGGAAGGTACTGTTGCACTACAGGAGGGAGAGATCATCAAGGTATGCAATAAAAATTGTAACACCTACCAACAACCCTACAGCAATCAGCCAGTCAGCTGAAAACAGAGAGGAGGAGGCGTGCCTGCTACAGGCTACAGCAGAAAAATACTTTGTATTTGCTGTCTTCAGGAAGAGCCCTAAATCAAAACCTAGCAGACCCCTTTCATGACTGGAATGTTTTTTAATCCCACCTCACATTTAAAAGTAAACTATGCACCCAATTTTCTCAAGAGCTTAAGTCCCATTTTGGATATTTCAAATAAGCATCTACAGGACAGTTGAGCTATTTCTGAAGTCTGGCCATAATAAGAAGTGTTGCATTTTTTTCAAAGGCTAGATTGCTTTATTCATCCATGGCTATTTGCTTTAAAGAAATAATACCCTAAATCCTCTGAAAATATTACACACGAATTTCACATATTGTGAATATTTTCAGATCTAACAGATCCTCACAGATTTCTGGGATAATGCTGCCTAAAATGAAAACAGAGACAGATTTTGAAGGATTTTTTTTTTTTTTTTGAGCTCAAGTTATGTAAAACGTCCAGCACCAGCAGAATTTTTTTGCTATCTTCTTGATAATATTAAGAGGACTTTTCAGCAGAAAAGAACCCAGCCAACACAAAGCTGGCCAGCTCAGACTCCTGGTGTGCACAGCTTCCAAGACAGGGTGAACATGCAGCTTTGCTTGATCAGTGCAACTTCTCCTTACAGAGGCCTGAATCCAGGGAAACTGACAGCAGAGAAGCATCCCACATGCGAAAGAAACCAGAACAGTTTGTTTCCCCCACATACCCACTGTTTTCCTAAATGCTTTAAGCTATAACAACAGATGCTTTCAGAAAGAAACACCTCGGCCAAAGAAGCTGTATACTTTAGGTCCTTGTCTGGCTAGAAATAAAGTTCTGTTTGTTTTTCTGGGTTTTTTTAAGGATTTTTAAAGAGGTGTAAAATTACTCTCAGAGTCGAGAGGAGAGGTTTCAAAGCAATGTTCAGAAGCCCTGCCTTTGAAGATGAGCATCTCCAAACAAACCCAACAAGTGTCGAGTACATCTCGCTCCTTTGTTGTTGTTTCTAAGTGATGACTAGAAAGATCTGCGGACAGCAGCTCCAGTGCAGCCTGTTAGCGCCCAGCAACCGGCGGAGAGCAGGGAGCATCCCTCGCCTGGGGACTCAGTTTTCAGAGACTCCGGGGCCCGGAGAGAGTGACAACGAGTTTTAGAGCAGTTGGCAAAGTCCCTGCGGGGAGGGTGGACAGGGCTGCGCACCTCCGGCACCGACCTTCCCGGCTCGGGTGCGGGGGCCCGGGCAGTCCGGGGCGCGGCGGCGGGCAGGGGCGGCAGCGCCCGGCCCGGGGGGCTGCGCCGCCCGCCCCCGCCGGAGCAAGGGCGGCTCACGGCACGGAGGGATGGATGGCTCCGTCCTCCTCGGGTCCCCTCCGCGACGCCCACGGGCGCACGCCCGGCATCCCCAGGGCAGGCGGCGGCAGAGGAAGAGGAGGAGAAGGATGCCGGCCACGGTGCCAGGGATTTATTTACCCCGCCCGGCTCCTGGGCACGGAGACGGGAGGAGGGAGCACCACACTCACCTCTCCCCCATCATCAAAGAGCCCTTGACCCGTAGCCCCTGCAGCCGGGCCGAGGGGCACAGGGAGCAGAGGAGGCGCCCCTCCGTCGCCCTCCTCGGCTGGGGTCCCGCTCGGCTTCGGTGCGCCCCCACCTCCCGCCGCGGTGGGAGCCCTCCCTCCCCCCGGAGCCGCCCCTCTCCCCGTGCCCGGGGGAGGAGAGGGAGAGGAGGGGGCTGGGGGAGGGGAGCGGTTCGGGGCGAGAGAGAGGAGCCCGTTATTGGCCTACTTACCATCAATCGCCATGATCCCCGGCGGGGTGGGCCGTACCAAGCGGAGGGAGCGCACGCAGGAGAGGCGCTGCCGGGCGCCGCGGCTGCCAGGCGGGAGCGGCGGGAGGGGCGGGGCGGGAGGTGAGAATACCCTGAGTTGGAAGCGATCCAAAAGGGTCATTGAGTCCAAGTCCTGGCTCTGCACAAGACACACCAAGACTCACACCATGTGCCTGAGAGCATTGTCCAAAAGCTCTCTGAGCTCTGCCAGGCTGGTGCTGTGACCACTGCCCTGGGGAGCTGTTCCAGTGCCCAGACACCCTCTGGGTGAAGAACCTTGTCCTGATACCCACCCTAAGCCTGCCCTGACACAGCTTCAGGCCGTTCGCTCGGGTCCTGTCACTGGGCACCACAGAGTAGAGATCAGCGCCTGCCCCTCCTCTTCCCCTCACCAAGAAGTTTTAACTGCAGTGAGATCTCCCCTCATTCTCCTCCAGGCTGAACAGACCAACTGACCTCAGCCACTTCTAACTCGCAGTTTATAATAAAATCAGCTTGGTTCATTACAATAATCACATCCATAACTGCACAAAACTGCTTGTGGCAGCTCTAGTACTGCCTCTACAGATTGTCTTTTCCAGGATTTTTCTCCCTTTCTTTTAAAATACCATGCTGAAACTGTCTTTTGGAAGTAAATTTAAAGGAATTAAATTAAATTTATTCCACTCTCATGAGAACACACCTAGAATACCACATCCAGCTCTGGGGCCACCAGTATAAGAAGGCTGTGGTCCTGTTGGAGCAGGTCAAGAGGTGTTGGAGCCCTTGTTGCTACTCCTTCCTCTGTCTCACCCGCCACAGGTTCTTCCTCTCCCTTCCATGCCTTTTCCTCAGCTCTTCTGCACTTGTACCAGCCTCTCTTTCCCTGGAGTTCTGCAATTGTTTTCCCAGCCAGGAAATTCTTCTTCTACACTCTCTTCCTCGCCTCCTAGAAGTGGCAAAAGGATCATCACAGTGAGCAAAGAGGACTGCACTTTGCAAGGCCCTGCAACATTTACCACAAGGATCCAGAAGGATATCTGGGGCAAATAATGTGTGGCTCCTGAAAGCTTGTATTATGGATTTTATACTGTAATCTTGTACAGGATATAGGATGTACATAAAATTCTGTTACTGTGACAGAAAGTCCTGGTAGCATTTGAAGCTATAAAGAAACACATTGCTACGTGCAAACAGGTTTTTCATACATAGGTAGACTGGCCAAACATCAGAAAATTTTCACAAGATGGTAAGGAGGAATACCTTTTGTAACAGTATCATCTTTCTGCCAAATGTTTAGTCACCATTCAAATCCTGGAAACATTAATCCCCTTCAGTCTCACAGCCTTCAGAAATCTTTTGTCATATAGAAAAATCAATGTGTTTTCTCAAATTTGTTCTCCACCTCAGGAGAAAAACAGAAAAAAAAAAAACCAAAACTTTAAAGTGAGGCATTTAAAAGCACAGTCAGCCTGAGCAAAATGGCTGTCTTGAAAAACACAAGTCCCAAATGACAGACATATGTCCAGACCAGAACCAACAGTAAAAAAGATCTTCAAAGAGAAAATGTCAGCAGAGCTTAATGGCAAATATATTTCTCTGTACCAGCACTGACATTTACCTCAAATACCCTAATGATTTGCTGTTCTTCCTCTTCCTTCCATGCTTTTTCCTCAGCTCTCCTGGTCCTAGAAAGAGTTCCAGCCCCCCTTTCCTTACAGTTTGTGTTGATGGCCATCATTCTGATGATATTACTGTATTGATTACAGGGATGAAGCTTCCCATGGGATCAAGTACATAGAGTTATTATTCTTCTCTGCTCTGTTTTTTATTTCTCCCCCTGCTTTTGGCAGCATCCGCAGTAGGAAGGAACTACCAATCAGATGTCATCAAATCTTTCCAGGGCACAGACATCCACCCATACAGAATCCAGCACAGAATTTTTGAGATGTTTAAAAAGTCATCCAAAATTTTTGGAGAGCCTCATATGACGATTCCATGATTCATGTATGCAATTACCATAATGGGATGCAGAAGTTCATGTCATTAGACAGACTCTTTTTGAGGGTGATATATGAACCTATGTTTGTGAATTAGTGACACTATGATTGTAACTCTTGGTCCAGGGGTTTGGTTTTCAAAACATAAAAGAAACACATAACTTACCCAAAAGTAATGGAGGCTCAGTTTGGAAAAACAGTTTCAGGATAAACATGATTCCACATCAACAAAGAGATGGTGTGAAATGTATGTGTAAGGAACCAAAACACGACTTTTCAGAGCTATGCTGAATCAAATCTGTTCTATTTGTGCTTAAGTTTCACAAGTACATGTTTAAAATTTCTTGCTTTATTGAAACAGCAGATACTCCTGCCCACCACCATAGCAGTCTCATTTTTTTAATGTCACCAGGAGGGACAAATCTTGAACATACTTCCAAAATTCAACTATTTAATTTTTTTCCTATGGTGTAGTTGAGACTGTGTAAGCCATAGCTTCATCCGTTCCCTGCACAAAAGGAGCACAGCTGGTCAGTTTGGGCGTGTTAGAAATTGTCTACTGAATCCAGTGGGCAATTCATTCTGCTGGAAGCATTTACATGTGATCCCACAAGTATGCCCTTTGCAGAACAGCACAGCTGCACACAAACATGACTACAGCTCAACTCCAGACCTTAAGTAAAGTTGATAAATCCTTAATGTACAAACAATTTACAGGTTATCAAGAGTTCCCTGTCAAATGGAAGAACCTATTGACAAGAGATTTGCTGACAGCAATGAAGCTGTCTGGCAGATGCAGGATAAATTTAATCCCATAAACCCTAAACTTTTCAACTTGTAAACTACCTACACAGGAGAAACTTCTCCCACTGCACTGATGTGAAGCCACTTTGGCAATTAAAATCAAAAGCTGCTGGGAACTTTGGCATGAGTGCCCTAGGAGGAGAAATACGTTAAAGATCCATTTAAGGCCTGATCTTTGCCAGACCTTTTTGGATTTTCTCTTCCATCTTAGCCTTAATAATCTTAGTATTAAACCAGATATAATTTAAGAGTATGTGCTTTGTGAAAACTTAGAATGTATGTAAACCATGGCATGTGTGAATGAAAAGACTAACTGAAGTGTCAGAAAACACAGACTATCAGTAACCAGAAAGGTCGAAGCCCTAGATTAGTAATCTGCTAATTAAGATGCCAGACAGATAAGGTATCTATAATTGTCATGATGTGAACAAAGTGAGTTCACGATTGAACAAACAGTGGAAGAAAATGTCCATGTAAATTTTTCAGTGGAATGTTGCCTTTTCATTCAGCTGTAGGTACTCTGCACTATCACAGTGATTTCACTGAAATGCCATTGGGGAAGGAGGTGAAATATCCAAGGTCTTGCACTTCAGACAAAAACTTTCAATCTCAAGACTTTTTACTTCATATTATATTTTAAAATAATAATTACATTAAAATGAAGTACCTTGATCTTATCTACATAAAATCTTTCTGTAAGAAAACTCAGTCTTTTGCTGAAAGTTCACTTAATGGGGCTTTCCAAAACTGTGTGCATACAGCTACACCTCCCTGTGCATTTCTCGCTGGCTGTATTTCAATTTGTAAAGAAAACAGATTTTTAAAGAAGGGATCAAAACTCCCACAAAACTGAAATTCTGGTTTTTTGACCAGGAACCTTAAAAAAGTCCCAGCAAGAAGCACAATGATATGCAGCTCCAGGGTGTTCTGTCCTGCAGATTATTTATAGGAATGCAAAAAACCTGGTGCAGCAATGTTGAAGTGAAGAGACTAATAGACAAAATCTCTAACCCATAATGTTAGAAGTGAAAACACGACCTCTGAAACATCTTCAAGAAAGGTCTCCAAAGATATTATTACTCCAGCAGATGAAAAGATGGCTAAGAATAATAATACAGTGCTGTGTCCTAATTGATTTGGAATATCAGCTTACAACTTCCCGTAAGGATTTTTGGCAGCAATTTTGTGAGCACTGCCAATCAGATTTGCAATCAGATTAGTTTTGCATGCACAGTGTTCTTTATTAGGACATTAAATACCTGACCTTTCAATATTAAGATTGGCATTATCAAGTTTTTTGGCACTAGTTAAATAACCTGTGACACTTATTTAGCTTCTCATAGTTTTTGAAAGCTATAAAAGACAACTGGAGCCCTCTACCCTCTGGAATTGCAGAGCTACATGTGATAAGAGTGATACACCAGATACACTCAAGTCTCCACTCCTTGGAAAAGAAACATAAACCTGACTCTTGAAGCAAATTATTTGGCCAAATAATACTCAATGTGTAACTTCATATACAAGAATAAATTATTGAGAAACTGAAAAACTGTTTCCAGCAGCATCTTTTTTCTGCCAAATTTGGAACTCCACAAGGTTGGATTTCCAACTGGGATACAGTTGGAAAAGGTCCTATGAGCTAAATCCAAATGGAAATATTTTTGTTCAGATTCACATTGTTAATCCATGGGTAATGCATCTGCTACAGAAATAAAAATTGAAATAAACAAAAATGTGACTTTTGATGCCTATTCATTCTAGTGGATGTTCAGTTAGCCATAAGCAACATGCAAACTTTAGAGCTGGATGAATAAAATAATGACTCTTACTGTGCACTCATAAAAATCTTAGCTGGCTCAAGCAACCGAAGTTAACATTATTCAACTGTGTTGTCTTGCACTGCCCCAAAACAAAAACCTCATGAAGTTACAGCTAGGACTACTAAATGCCAAAGAAACGTGGCAATCATTGAGCACATGTGCTCACACAAACTACAGGAAAGGCAAACTAAATGTGTGCAAGAAAAAGTCATATGCCAAATGTATGCACAATCTATTCAGACATGCCAGCTTTTCCATGAGAAGCTGAACTAATGAAGTGGGTGTCCTGGAGATGTAGCTCTGTACCACTTATCTCCACCCCTCCCCAGTGGGACATCTCTTGGTTATTCCCATGTTATCCCCTGCTATTCCCAGTGTTAAC